AAAGGGAGAATCAGATGCATATTTCAGAGTCTTTATTATAATCCCCCATCCTTTAATTAAAAAGGTTGGAATTTTTTTTCCAGATTATCCGCTAGCTAAAAGAGGAACAGCACACATCTGTTTTAGAGACTCCTCCAAGGCTTCTTACACACACGCCTGAACTGGCCAGATTCCTAGACACAGAAATGTCATTTGGCCTGAGGTTTGCTGCAACCACTGACATGCTTGGCAAATATCTCTGGTTCTATGGAAAGTCTATAGCGCAAGGCTTTGTAATGGTGGTGACTGTGACCTGTCCAAAAGCAATAGTATTTTGGTGAACTTGTCTGACTGCAAGATATTTATTACTTGTAAGAGACCTAAGGAGACCTTATTTTACCTTTAGAAGCAAAAGCAGGGATAAAAGAAGCCAGGAAGAACACAGACAAAAGCTATCTTCCTCTTTTTCAGTATGAAGAGATATTTTAAATAAAAGTCTTACCCTCTATTCCATTAAATAACTTATTTTATAACTTCTTTCAGAGTTGATTTTTTCCCCTTTCTTTTTCTACTGAAAACAATTATTTTGTGTTTGATTTTTAACCCCCCACTTGTTTGTTTGGACATTCTTGTTGCTGTTCCTTCAGGCAGGTGGTGTAGAAATAGAAGCATCAAATCTAGAGATCAGGAGCACAGTAAGGGCTAGCAGGAGGATTTCAACAGAGAATTTCAAAACATTCTAAGTTGTTATCACCTTCTCTTTAAGAGTCTTTTTGAGCCTCAGGATAAGAGTAAGGAAAATTAAAATGCCAAGAAATCTTAAAAGAGAGTGAGCCTAACACATCTGGCAAAAAGTGGGTTTGGTTAACGAATCCAAGACAGTTTTAAGGAGGTGCAACTACTAAAACAGCCTTAAGTTCAGGCTTATCCTATCCTGAGAAAGCCCTCAGTATTGATGGGATTCCTACATGGGTCAGTTACCACCTGGTAGCAGGTTTCCGAAGGGCAGAAATCTCTCAGACAAAATTCAATACCAGGTATGAACAACACCCCCAGGGACAGAGGGAAGTGAAAAAAGCTGCTTCAGCCCAGTCTCTCTCTCACATATATACATATCTTGGTTGCACTGCAGTGTATGTGTGAATGTGCATATATTTGCACACACATAGAGACACATATAACACACACATACACACATGTATTCCATCCAATACAACTCAGATAAAGTCACTGTCTGAGAATACCATGTCTTATTTTTCCTGATTTTTTTTAAACCACCAACCTTAGGGTGTGGACACAAGTAACAACTGAAATCTTTCAAATGCCTATGAAATGTTTCAAAGGGCCCGCTGTTTAAACATGCATGCCTTTTGAAATGTTCATAAAGCAGCTGAAGTGATCCAAAATAGTACCTTTCGAAATGAGGTACTATTCTAAAGCATTTCAATTCCTGTTATGTGTGCATGGGGGCAGAGGACCAAAATGTCATCCAGAATCCCACAGTGCTCCATGCTCCCCATCCCTGGAAGAAGGTGGAAGAGCAGGGTGGACAGTCCAGTAGGCTAACGGACAGCTTGGTTCTATTTCCATACCTTGGTCCCCGAGGCCGTAGCACTCAAGGGCCCACTGCTGGTGCCAGGCTCTTTAGGCTCAGTCCCCTCTATTTCTCCACTCTGGTGAGAGGCACAGTGAAGAGTTAGAGGGAACTGGGAATTGCGAGTTGGAAACCTAGTGGTGGGGGAGCCAGCAAGTCCCCCTTACTCCTCCAGAGAGATCCTCCACCCCCTATAGCGACCCCTGCCTAGAGAGCTCTTTTTGCTCTGGAGAACAGTTTTAAAATGTTCCAGCCAGGGGGCACTACAGGGACTGCACATGCCCCTCAGCTAACCTGATTCATTTTTTAAATGCTTCCAAGCCTATTTAACTTTTAAATGTTTCAAAAGCTGCACATCTATGCCCTTTAATGCTGATTTACCAGTATTTCATATCTATTTTAACAGAATACCATCTATTAATACGTAGTTGAAGTTAGTTTCAAGTATTACGATTTCGCTTTAAAAATCATGTTTTAATGAGTTTTTAAAAATGTATGCCTGTTACTGCATAATAAACTAAATTAAACAAGGAGGCTTGACTAATTATGTAACACAAAATGCTGTCAAATGCACACAGTAAATGGACTGAAAAGTGAAATAGCTTCCTCTCATCCCTTGATTATACTCCTCTTAATTGCTACTTTTAACTACAGAAAGTAAGACTTTAAAGAGCAGGATGAATTTTTAAAAATGAATGTCCCTTTAAATTAGGCTGAGTATATTTGTCAGGGTGTCTTTGCCAAATCATAAGCAAGAAATTTCTTGGAAGAAGTTATTTCATAGACAACGCTTTAAAATGTTTTAAAAGCTAGACGTAACAAATGTAGTAATTTTTAAAATGCGACAAAGAGCTGTTAGACATAAGAAATTAGACATCTCTCACCTGAGGGGAATGATAAGACAGGATGGAAAGAAGAGTCCAGTTCTGGCATATGTTTTAGTATTCTGGATTTCATACTCTGCTCATAACTGCTCCAGGTAGAGGCTGGTACCATGCAAGGCAGCTGTGCATTATATAGAAATGAGGCATCTTTTGACAGCAAAGCCTGCAAGAAAAATCAGATGTATCATTTTTATTCTCTTCCTGAAACTGGCCCACAAATAAGAATAGTTTAAAGTTACAACTCAGTGCTAGGTACATTTAAAAAAAATATTCTTGTAATCTTGAACTAGCCTAGAAATAATAAATACCTACTATCTGGGATGGTAATTTTGGACTACATGTATATAGTCCAAAATTACCATATATATACATATACACATATACATACATACACACACACACACATATATTACAGCAAAATTTTATTTCTGAAGTAATTTGCAATTTAAAAGGTAATTTCCAATCAATAATATTTTGGTATCTCTTTGACAAGTACTATTGTTCTAGTTGGCACAGTATACATGATAAGTTCACACAAAGAAAACATTTTTGCAATAAGCATCCAACAAAATATTGGCACTTTCTTTCTTAGCTTGTATGCTCTCCTCAACTTGGACCATGTATGTTTCCACAGATTTTGAGCCCTTACATAAAAACTTGTTTACACAATGATTACACATAATAAATACATTTACACAAAGTCTCAAGAAGGGCAAAGTCCTTATCTTAGACTATACTTTGTGAGGCAAGAGAAAAGACAGCACATAATACAAAACAGTATTTTTTTTTAAAGGGATAGAATGGGGTGTGATATAATAAAACTAGGTAGGGCTACATGATGGATAGTGAAAAACCAGCCTAGGAAAAGATAGAGTTAGCCGCAAGACAACAGACATGGTGAAAAGTAGTTCAAAGAAATGAGAGGAGAGATAAAGGGAGCAAGATCATGCTTAGCTTTGAAGGCAAGAATGAAGATCTGAATCTGATACAATTAAAGGAGGCTGTGGGAGGAGTAGTAGAGAATTCAGCTTAACTACGAGAGGTCAAGGATTCATAAAAAAAACCTTAAAAGACCTTAAAAAAAAGGACCTTAAAAATTGTCTATAAAACTGTTCCTGTCATATTCAATTTCAAATTTATACCTCAGCAGGTATGTAGAGTTGAAGATTATAGTTTTCTTTTCACTAACTTAAGAGCTTCCATGATTAATTCACTATTTCGCACATCTTGAAAATGGATTTTGGTAGACTTGGATTTCATTGTCTAGAAAGGTATCTACTGAAAACCCTCAGCTGAACCTGAAACCTAGGAGGAAGGAAAGGAGGGTGGACAAGTATGGACATTTCAAGGTCTCTTGCATAATATCTTGTTTAAACTGGACCACTGCCATACTTCTGCATTATGACTTCTGGTTACTAAATGATAATAGCACTGGATATTTATGAATTCTCCCTTTTCTTAGAGAAGATCTACATTACATGAAGACAAACATCTCAACTTGGATGCAGTTTTCATATGACCAAATCAACAAGGCATGGGAAAACTTGTGAATTAAACAATATTTTGTTTACTGTCAGAAAGTGGTAATCCCTTTAATGGCCTCCTGCTAAGAAACATTCCAGCATGTATTTTTCTGGTGATAAAATTTCTTCATAAGTGGTAGTGCACTGATTCAACTGATGGCAAAGTAAATTCCTCCCATAAAATTGGTGGTTCTGTCAGAAGGTATGATTTTTTTTGATTTTTTTTTTACTTCAGGGAATAAAATAACATTTAACACATTCCATACTGATTAAAACAATTTTCTTACTCTCAACCCACATGATCTGACATCCTGCCTCACTATTAACAGTAGTGGCTATTGAAATTATCTGCTCAGTGTATCATGGTTTTAGAGCAAAAGAAACCTAACTGCAGAGGTCTACAAATCAAAGACTTCTTGAAGAGAACTATTAAAATACTTTTCTTGGTAAAATATCATTTCATTGTAGCAATAACTCTCAATACATTTATATCCATACTCAGCTTTAAACACTGGCAGTCCCATTGAAATCAACATGTTTAAAGTTAAGTATACACTAAGGACTAAATTCTATTCCACCTATTTGGCACCTATTGGACGTGGGGTCTAAGTGCAATTTGATGCTATTCTGTTCAAGTCCCTGAAAAACTGTTAATATTAAACATGGATGCTTCTTCCTTGCTTCTTTTTGTGACTCAATCTTAAGGGTAAGATCAGGGGTGGGCAAAATATGGCCCACAGGCCGTATCTGGCCCACCAACTGATCCTATCCAGTCCGCCAGCTGCCACCAGGAGCTTGAGGAGGAAAGGCTGTGCCCCACATCGCTCTGTTCTGCCACAGCTAGGGCCAGGCCAGGCAGACTCCTCTGCGCTCTCCAACCCTGGATCTATTCCTCTCCCATCCGGCCTCCTGTTGGTGCTTTGCAGTCCTAGCACTGTGGTTGCTGGGCCCACACAAGACAAGGAGTGATGTGGAGATGAGTAGCCGCCCTGCCTACCCACCATGTCTAGCTACTGCTGCCATGGCACTGCTAGGAAGTGAGTCTGTGCCTGATGTGGTGGGGCTTGGCCTGGGGCAGCCTCTCCTGACTTTCCCGGTGTGGTTTGGCAGCAGTGGCTCATGGCAGTGGGCGGGAAGAACAGCTACTTGAAATGCTGCATCACACCCCATCCCATGTGGGCCTGGCTGTTGGTGGCTGCAATGCCAGGACAGGAAGCTGCACAGGGGGGAAGGGGGAGAAGCCTGCACACTGCACATCTCAGCCAGCCCTGGCTAGGACAGAGTGGAACAGCACGGGATGCAGCCCTCCCTCTTCAGGCTCCCAGCAGCAGCTGGTGAGCCAGACAGGATCAACTGGCATCTCCCCCCAGGTCCTCAACAGCTCACCAAAACTCCTTAAGTGGCCCTCTAGCCCAAATAACTCCCCACCCCCGGGGCTGCATGATGGTGTGTTACAAATTTAGATGCATTAATAGACTTGAATAGGGTGGAACAGAATTTCAATTAGGTTCCTAGTAGGTGGAAACAGACCCTGCACCTAAATGGAGGCAGAACTGAGATTTTGAGGCATTCTTCAGGTTTTATTGCTGGACTTTTTTTTTTTTTTTAAAGTAACATTTCCCATTTCAGAAACCATAAATGAAAAATTGAATGACTCACAGGAAACTACTTTGTTTTAACATAATCTGTATACACTTGTTTTTAAACTGCATAAAAATGTATTTCCTTTAGAGACTAAAAGCTGATGTACTCTCTCAGGCATGCATTTCTTTAAACTGCTCTATCATTCTATTTACTTGTGAAACCTTAATGACTCCAGATGAAATAAAATGATTCCCTGGAAAATTACAAAGCTTTTACAGTAGGTCTCTTTTTCTTTAGAAACATGCATCACAAGAAAACAAATCCAGAAAACACGCAAATAAGGCTGTCACGTCTTTAATATCTAAGGTTTCAATCTTGACTTGAAATTTCCTGCTTTAACTCAGTTTCTTCCCTTCCCTTTTATTGTGATGTCAGGTCTGTTATAAAACATGCATTATGTTGTTAAATATCCTAAAGATTCTAATTTATTTTAAATAGTAAATTAATAAATCAAATAAATTAAAGATAGGTAACCACTATTTGTTAAGGTAAGGGGTTTTGGCTCATATATTGTCTGCAGCAACAATTATGAACTCCTGTTTCTAAATTAGTGTTCTAAAGATCCAAGCTAATGGTGCACCAACAACAGAACAAACAAAACCTACATTAAGTCAATTTATATTTAAAAAACCCAACGATTAACCAAGACAAGAAGGTACAAGGAAGAGAGCCTTTATTTTCAAGCACTCATGAAAGTTTGTATAAAAGGTAAAAGGTTAAGAAGAATTTGATCTTGCAATTTGGAATGTTTTTTATTACAGTGGTTGAAAATTTTCTAACAGAATATTTTTCAACAAGGGGAAACTGATTCAGTGATATCAAGAGATTGAAGAAAAAATAATGAAGCACTTCATTTAGATAAGATTAATGCACTTTGTTTTACATCTTGCATTATTAAAACTATGCAATGAAAGTATAGTGCTTATTAGCCCTGATCAAAGTAAAATATTTTACTATTTCAGGATACAATTTTGAAGAAACTTTGTTTCAATGGGACTCAACCTTTTATTTCAGTTCAGAATAAAAGGAAAAATTAAAAAAAAATTTCCCTGTATAATTAGAAATTTCAACTTTTGCCCTAATATAGTACCACTAATACTCAACCTTTTCAGTTACTGCTTTTTGTAATTCAATACAAGATGATCCATTGAGCTCCAACAACTGACAAGCAGTTCATGAAACCATGGAACATTTTCTAGAGAAAATGAACAGTCCCAGAAGAGGCATCTACAGCAAACCTGACTACAAAGACAACCTTTTATAGCCTAGAAGATATGAGGAAACTCTATTCCCTTATCAACTTCTTCAGTGCTGATGTCTCTTGCATGCATCTGCTGAAACTATTTTTCTCTTTTTTTTCTGTGAAATGCCTATACACCTCAATTATTCCTGTGGTTAGTATAATGTTATTGCTATCTCTATCAACAATACATGTTCCCTTTAAAATAACAGGCTGTAGTTAAAAAGAAACACAACTTTTAGTTCTTCAGATTCTATAACTAAAAAGATGCCAGGGTTTATTTTGTTATTTTTAAGTAAAATTTGATCAAACTGTAAATACTGTGAGCCACTACTTATAGAATTGAGACCATATTCTCCAAGGAATACACTACTCTCCAGCAGACTAATCAGAAAGATAGATTTGATAGTGCCACAAAGGTACTAAATCATTCTCAGAAGAAGAATGTATCCTCAGCTTGAAATAAGTTTGCAGGAAAGTTAGCAAAACCACCAACATTCTTTATATTCAGAATTTTGTAGAGACTTCCTGTCCCACGAGCTAAATACAGGCTCTTGCCTACATCTGGGCGATGCCACCATCTGCAATACCAAACAAAAAAGCTCAACAGTGTGCTTTCAGTACAGTTTAAGGGAAAGCAGTTGTTTGTTTACATGAAAAGCAAAGCTTAGGCAGATACTGAAAGACATGTTAGACTGTATAACTATTCTAAACAAAGACTCATTAAAATAAAAAATACTGGCTGAGTAAATTACA